GATCCATCAAACTTTTTTGTGTTTAGAAGTGAAAACAATAGGACAAGGGGTCATAAATTCAAATTTTGGCAGCGTAGAAGTCCTCTGCAATTTAGACAGTATTACTTTTCAAACAGGGTGGTTGGCTTTTGGAATGAGATTTCTTTAAGGGTGGTGGAGGCAGAAAATTTAACTGAATTCAAGAAAACATTGGATGAATACATGAGTAGTAAAGGGTGGTTATAGTTGGGAGCTGGAAGGGACATCCTTGATGGGCTAATAAGCTCCCTTTTGTCCCTTTAAATTTTATGAATTTATTTATGAATAATATTTTACTGGAGTTTTAAATGTAAAATATTGATATGAACACCACTGGTGCAGGGTTATAAATTATCTCATTTGCTACAGTTCGGTTCAGGTTTCACATTGTGTTACATTCAAATATTGTGCATGTAACTGATCTAGCACATTGTTAGATTGGTAATTTAATACATTATTATTAGGGGTGTGTACCTCTCCATTGATATGCATCTATATATTGATGATATGATACGTATCCAGATACAGAAGTTTTACCAAGGGTTTGTTACAAAATTTAACAGTCTTGTCTGTATTTTATTATCTATATTACTAACATTGTCTTATTTAAGTACTTCACACTGTACAGTGATTTTTCAAATTCTCAGGTTTGATCAACTAAGTGGCAGCTGTCAAGAGAAGTAAAATAAAAAAGTTAATATTTCTCTCTACTTTGTTATGTTACTTTGCATGTAATGTTTATGATAAAAAAAAATAAGACAGCATGTAGTACTCAATACTCATCTTCATTTATTGAATCATTAATTTTTAGCAAAAAAGTTTATTAAAAATTCTGATTTTTCATGTATAAAAGGCTTATAATGTTTACTGAAAACTTGCCAACTTTTGTGAAAATACATAAATCTTATCATATCATATGGGATGATGTATCAATAGCAACATATTATGGCTTCACAATATGATATTTGTATCGTATTGCTGTATTGTAACACCTTTAATTATTATAGATCATGCCATGCATTTCAGACAGAAATAATGTGTTTCTTATAAAGTGAATTTAGGCAGTGTTCAATATGTGCACTGGGTTTACTGAAGTTGGTTCTGTTGGTTTTCTTGATTTTAAGATAACATTTTAGGTTTCATTCTTTATTTTGTTGAATTGGGGAAAAATATGACATAAATCTAAAGAAGTAAGCAAATTTTTTCTGAAAGTTTTAGATATAGGTGGCTAATACTACTTGTATATTATGTGCATAAACATCAATAAATCATGTGGTATATTGGCTGTGATAAGATACATTTGACACGCTTTAAAAACCTGAATGTTTGTGTGTGATGGATACTGCTGTTCAAATTGAAAGATACATGTGTAGTGCGGATAAATCATTTTGTTAAAGCTTGGTAATACTTGTGTTGTAGTACAGAAAAATTGTTCACTGATTCAGTTACAGCTTGGAGATGTATATGTAGTGCACATAAATCATTCTGTTATAGCTTGGTAATACTTGTGTTGTAGTACAGATAAATCATTCACTGATTCAGTTACAACTTGAAGATGTAGTGCAGATAATTATTCTGTTAAAGCATGGTAACACATGTGTAGTGCAGATAAATCATTCATTTGCAGCTTGGAGATATGTGTAGTACAGATAGTTTGTGTTGTGAAATATACAGATTTTTGTTTCAAAAAAACTATATAAATTTCTATAAGCCTAATATTTGTAATAGAAATATTTTAAACAGCAGATTTTTTAAAACTTTTCCCTAATGGCATTCAGACTAGAGATGTTTAAAACCAGCATTTCAGATCTATCTTTTGTCTCTCACATGTCATTGTCTAGGAGGCAGTACTAGAGCTCTTCCAGTCCCCTAGTAGCTCAGAAGTAAGTCTGCAGACTCATGGTGGACACTTGCGCTTAACATACAATAAAAAACAGAACTCTTCAGCTGAATAAATGATCAGAGACTATAGTTTATATGAAATACTATTTATATGTGCAGTAGAAGAAGATGAATTTATGTCAGTAAGTTTGGTGTCAAACTGTAGATTATAATTAAAATTTTAGTGTTATACCTTTCTGAATCACTTAATTTAAAAGTAGATATAAAAAAAACACAGTTAAACATCAATTTTTGTGTGTCACGTGGTACTTTGAATGCAGCACTGGTTCAAATTAGATGTTTGTGATGTCAAAATACTAAGTATATAGTTTCATACAAATTAGGAACTCAAATTACCAGTATTGACAAGCTACAGTATAAAATAAGAGCCTCTTATCTTTTCAGTGTACTAAGGTATTACTCATGTAATAAATCAAACACAGTGGTACCCCTCCCACCTCTTTCCATTTTTGAAAATGCTCCCTTATATTCACTAATTTATATATATGACATGAATAACCAATTGGAAGCTCAGAATGTTCCCCTTGTGACTTTCTTAGCCATTTTATTGTATTTGGATGCCATTTCTTTCTTTCGAACCAAGATTTCAAGGAGATAGGTTGTGTCTTTTGTCTGCTCAAAATTTCATATTTTGTTTAGACTGAAATACAGCTTAGTTACTATGCTTGATAAATTATAGTGGAATTCTATGGTATTGATATAGTAATGTAGGATATTTTGGTTCTTCAACTATATTTATTTAAAACCTAAAAAAAATATTTTGTTTCGCATCTTCCATGTGCAAATTTTTTTATAGGCTTAGCAACCTATGTCAAGCAGCAACTAAGTATAAAGGTTGTAACCAGAAGAGATAATTGTTTGCTTTACTTCTTTACTTACTGTTCTATGTTTTAAGAAAAATAAGTTCAAGAATTTATTTGTAAATAGTAATAATGTATATACACGCATAATGTATAATAATTGATATGTGACTGTATTTACAAAATACTAGTCAATTAAAACACAGCCAAGGCAGGTCACTTTATAAAGACTAAAGGTCAGTTTTATGTTATTGGATACAGTAACATGAGAGCATATGTGCCACATCATTGTAATTTCTGTATTGTTAGCCAGGCATGGCTGAAAGGTCAACATAATAAAAA